CTCTCTCTCTCTCTCTCTCTCTCTCTCACACACATTCTCTCTCTCTCTCTCTCTCTCTCTCTCTCTCTCTCTCTCTCCTTTCTCTTCTCTCTTCTTTCTTCCTTGCTCCCTATAAAGTCTCATGTGCCCAAGCTGGTCTTGAACTTGCTACATAGCTAAGACTGACCTTGAACCTGTGATCTTCCTGCCTCTATCTCCAAGGTCTGGGATTACATGTCAGGTTTATGAAGTGCTGGGGCTCAAACCCAGGGCTAGGCAGGCACTCTACCAACTGGACCTTGTTCCCACACCCTTAGTATTGTTTGTTTCTGTTCTTGTCAACCTTGCCCACCCTCCATCTCCAAGCACAAGACTGGCTCATTTTGAAAAGGGAATAAGTGGCCAGGCTGATCCCTCCTCTGTCCTTCTCCACTGGAAGTCTGAGAAGCCCAGAACACGGCAAAGGGGAACAGGAAAATGGGCACAGTTGTTTATTTCTCTCCTCAGAGAGTCATGTTTAGTTTCTTGAGGTTAAGACAGAGTTCCTCTTTGCTTAGAGCTGGTTTGCTCCTGAGAGTGCTAGCGGACTGGATTTCTAACTGATGAGGTATCTTCATGTCTTGTCTGTCTCCTCTGGGGGAGCCAGAGGCCAGCTGTATGACCTGGGACTTTTTCTCCTGAAACCCCAGATGGCTCACAAGCAGGACTCCTTGCTTCTTGCCTTTCACACTGGTCAGCCTTTGGCTCAGAGGTCAGGAGGCATCGCCATGAACCTGTTTCCATAAACAGGTCTCCAATCCTGCCCTTCTCATAAAGAGGCTGCAGCCTGCTGGAGCTCCCAGATGCCTCCTGGGCCACTGGGACAATGTCTCATTCAGCATACAAGTGTGCTCCTGTTTGCGAAATGTCAACTATTTATTTATCTCTTTAATTTCTATTTTTTTGATACAGGATCTGATTGTGTAGTCCTGGCTGCCCTGGTACTCACTATGTAAAACAGACTGGTCTTGAACTTGTAAGGATCCTCAGCTTCTGCCTCCTGAGTGCAAGGATTAAAGGCCTGTGCCACCATGCCCAGTAGGAAGTCATCTTAAAGAAATCACGTGTTTTTGCATGTGTGTATATCATGTGTTGGGCTGCTCGCCGTGAGCCTCGTACTCTCCCCTTTCTCCATCTTCCCCATTCCCTCTGTTCCCCTTCTGTTGGCAGATAGACCGACCCAGGACTTTCTCAGAGGCCCTGGTGAACGGACCAGGAAGTGTTAGTTCTGTGTCCTGTCCAGGAGTGGACTTCAAGGTCCAGTGAGCCTCAAAGGAGTCACGGTTGTCTTTTCTGGGGACCCAGCTCTTCCCCCGGGACTGTGGTTATTAGTCCTAGAGCAGCCGTGTCTGAGGTATCCCATGTTCTCCTCACCAACACTGACTGACTGAGCCTTTGCTGTTTTACCCTGTAAATAGTATATAAGATGCTGCATTTTAAAAAATAAACTTGCTTGGCATAAGTCATCAGCTTACGTCAGACTTCCTGGTCCCAGCTATTGTTTTTGTCATTTTTATTCCTTGATCTCTGGTCCCCCCCACCCCACTCCTCATCATTAGTGACCCTGATTTCTGCAGGCGAGGGTCACCTGTGGTTCTCTTAGGCAAATTTACTTGTACTTTCAAGTCATATGTATGTCTGTATACATGTATGCATATATGTATGTGATTTTATATAGCTATATAAAATCTAGAGTTCACAAATGAGAGAATCCATATATTTGTTTTCTGCAACTGACTTAATTTAATAGGATGTGCTGTAGTTGTATCCATTTTCCTGCTAATGACATAATTTTATTCTTTTAAAAATATTTATATTATTTTTATTCATATATCACTGGGCATATGCCTCTGTGTGTGTGCATAGGTATCCTCTGAGGCCAGAAGAAGATATTTGATCTTCTGAATCTTGAGTTACAATTGGTTGGAGTCACCAAATGTGAATGTTGGGAGCTAAACTCTGGTCCTCAGGAAAATAAACAAGTGCTCTCAACCACTGAGCCATCTCTGCAGCCATAATTTTATACTTCTTCATGGCTAAAACATGTATTCTACATATACAATTTTTATATTGTATATATACAATTTTTATAGTGTATATACACATTATCCTTCCTTGTCTGTGTCTCTGTTGAAAAAGTCAACTTCTTGCTAGAGGACGGAGAGACCAGACATCCCACACATTGAGTGACAGCCTTTTTTTCTCAATGCCCTAGTATACCTGGGCCCGTCTGTCAGGATCTTATACTCTCTTCCACCTCCTGGCCCTGGCCCCAGGTTGTTGCTGCAGAGCCTGGAGCAGAGGGCTGGAGTGACTGAGCTTACACAGGGCACTGGATTGTTAGTTACTTTCCCCGTTGCTGTGATCAAGTATCTGACGAGAGGCGACTTAAGGAGGAAGGGCTTACTGTGGCTCATGGCTCAGAGGATACAGCCTACCCAGACATATGAGGAGACACTGGCTCCTGTCTGGCAGCAGAAGACTGCTTGCTCACATCTTGGTGGATAGGAAGCTGAGAAAGGGAGTACCAGATCTGTTGGTTTCTCCTTCATCCCTTTTACTCCAAGCCTGTTTCCTGGTCCATCAGATGGTACCATCAGCATTCAGGAAGGGTTTTTCCTTCTTAGTTACTTCTCTCTGGAAACTCCCCTACATGTACCCAGAAGAGCCTCTCACTAATGCTCTAGGCATTTATCAATCCAACCAAGCTGACAAAATTACCCAGGAATGTCCAGAGACGGGACATGCTCGTCCTTATAGACATGGTGGGAACCAAGATGAGCAGCGGGAAGAGGCAGCTCCATTCTTGAAAGTTCAGAGCAGCATTGTTTTAAGCTAGCATCCTATCAGTCTATTTCCCACACCCTGAGTGTGCCCATCCCTCACTCAGCACCCCCACCACTCTGCTCCCTGTATGTACGCTGACAGTGCACACTCATCCGCTGCCGTGTTCTCCATCTTGTACTGTAAGTTACTTGCTCAGGCTGCTTTATCTTGTCAGGTTGCAAAAGCTGCTGAGTGAGAGACTGAGAAATTTATCTCCGGGGTCCTGGGTTGAGCTCTCAGAAGGCACTCAATGTGCACTTGTAGGATGGGTGGATAGATGATGGATGGGCGATAGAAGAAGGACTCTTTACAAGAAGAGTCTTCAGTTAAGATGATTAAAATGTCGTGTACCAGGGAAGAAGTCAGGTGGCTTCCTCGTCAAGGCCCAAACCTTCAAAGGATGAAGCTGTGGCCTCTGCCAGGCAAATCGTCTAAGCCAAGAACAGGGAACTTGGGCACGACAAAGTGACCTGCTTGTTGACTCATTTCCTGTTTCTTCTGGATAAAAGACCCTTGGGGAGACAGGCATTGAGAAGTTCCCATGCCAGAGGTGGAGATGAAGGAGAGGGAGGCTCCCGAAGCGCACTTCACAGTGGACAAACAGAACATCTCTCTCTGGCCTCGAGGCAAGTGCCGGCTATTGCCCCATGCCCACCTGGTGCTCATGCCCACCACTGCTCTTCACTGATCCTTAACAGACCTCTTTGTCCTCTTCCAGAGCCTCCTCCCAAGCAAGATCTGTCTCCAGTTCTAAGGAAACCTCTCTGTATCTGCGTGGCCTTCGTTTGTCTGGCATTGGTGCTGGTCACCTCTATTGTGCTTCAGGCTGTTTTCTGTAAGTCAACTGGTCCATGGGGTTCCAAACCTTTTTGCTACAATCCTTGGTGTCTCAAGTCTATGGCATTTCAGGAACTCTCCTGATGTTTTTAGAAGCTGGCCTGCTATCCCTTCCATTCCTAGGTTCTAGGGGGATCTTATAACTGGCATTAGAAAATGTCTGTTCTCAGGGTACTTGTCTGTCTTCAGGAAGTAATCACTAAGGCTTTTATTTCTGCCTTTGACTCCCTTAGACTCCTTCCGCTCACAGCTCCCAGACTGTTGGATTCAGAGCTTTGTGACTAGCCCCCATCAGGGAGCTTGACTTCTCATGATCTTACTGGGTACTTACTAGGTACTAGTTCTGCACTGAGCCAAACCAGCAAACCTCCCAGTCTCTGTACTCCCTTGTCCAGGCAAAGAAAATGTTCATATTTGGAGCCTTCTTATTCCTCTTTTAGAAGCTTCTTGGCCTCTGCTGCAGTCATCCCTTCCTTCCTTCTGCCAAGTCTCTAGAGAACATAGGGAGACACGTCTTCTCTTTTCATGACCTACATGCCTGGTCACAGATTCTCAGCCCCACCCTTCCTGGACATCATTGATCTTGGTCTTATCCTAGACCTAGTCTTGTCTTTTCTCTTATTTCCCACCTCTATCTTTTTGTTCGAGACAGGGTTTCACTATGTAGCCCTGTCTGGCTTGGAACTCAGTAGATCAGGCCTGCCTGGAACTCACTGAGATCCACTCACCTCTGCCTCCTGAGTGCTGGGGAGTAAAGGTGTGTGCCACTAGGCTCTGTTCCTGACTTCTCATACTTCCTTTCTCATTGGACTCTTTTTTAAAAAAATTATTTTATTTTATATATGTCTGTGAGTGTTTTGCTTGCCTGTTCGTGCACCACATGTCTTGGTGCCAAGTGGAGAGCACATTGGACTTCCTTAGAACTGAAGTTATAGTCGGTCAAGAGCTTCTATATATGCTGGGAAGTAAACCCAGGTATTCTGAAAGGATAAGTGTTCTTCCTGCTGAGTCAGCTTCCAGCCCATAGGACTCCTGTGCCTATGATCTTAGTAGAGTATGAAAGATAGGGCCAAGGAAGGCAGAAATAGCTTCATGCCCCTTCCTATATGCTCTGGAGTCTGCATGTATATGGCCCCACTCATGGCCATAAAGCAGGCTGTGGGCAGACAAAGGAGGGGTGTGCTTCCCTATCTGGTAGTGGGGTTTTTGACAGGAGATGGCTGGGGACTAACTTACAGACTGAGAGGGGACCCAGGGATAAAGTGATGAGGGGGTCACTAAGGGAACTCCTTTCACCAAGTTTACCTAGATCACACTAAGGAATTTCAGGGCTGGGCTCTCCCTCTGCTTCTTCACGAGATCTCTTGGTCTCCTCACTGCCTGTGCCAGCCAGCGTTCCCGATGCATGGTAGCACCTAATGCACACTTGGTGTATATTAATGAATGGATGGAAAGTAGGTGGCAGCTCCTTGGACTGTCTTTGTCTTTTATGGAGCGTGATCTTTCAGCTTCTCCTTCCTTTGGACAATACTCCACCTCCATGACTTAGGAACCCCTCAACTGACCCCTTGACTGTCTCAAATCCAGATCCCAGGTTGATGGGCAAAATATTGGATGTGAAAACTGATGCCCAGATGTTGAAAGGTCGTGTGGACAACATCAGCACCCTGGGATCTGATCTTAAGAATGAAAGAGGCCGTGTGGATGATGCTGAGGTTCAGATGCAGAGAGTGAACACCAGCCTCAGCATGGTGCGTTCTCAGATTCTGTCTCTGGAAACCAGCATGAAGCTAGCCCATGATCAGCTCCGGGTATTAACAATGAGCTGGGGAGAGGTTGACAACCTCAATGCCAGAATCCCAGAGCTGCAAAGAGATCTGGACAAAGCCAGCGCCTTGAACACAAAGGTCCAAGGACTACAGAACAGCTTGGAGAATGTCAACAAGCTGCTCAAAGAACAGAGTAAGTAACTGAGATCTTCCTGCAGGCTGACCGGTGGCCACCTACCTGTCTCGAGCTGTAGTTTGGGTCCCTACAATAAGGTGCAGAACACAGAAGCACTGGACACATGGTCTGTTCTGGCAGTCTGTGTGGCCTGGGAAATAGCCACACATTTGGTTTTGAGTGAGTTTATTAAATATATAGTGAGCTAGAAATGAAAGAATAAACAAGTGATGATGGATAAATGATTGACAGACAGACAGATAGGTGTTAGATTGATATAGCGAAATGTCAAATTGGCCATTAAAAACCTCCAGCAGATACTGACTGGAGCAGGTCCACTAAGGCCCTCTGATGGATTTTCTGACAGAGTCCCTGAGGAGCAGAGGGTCCCTTAGGGTAAGACTTTCAAGTAAAAGAACAAACAGCAGCTGGAAGGTGACGTCATCAAATCAGGAGCTTACAGACATCCAGCTGACTGGGGAAGTTCTAAGTTGAGCTGGAGTTCTAAGTTGAGCATTCTTCTCCCCATGGCTGGACTGTTCTGTTCTCTTCCCTCCTTGTCACGGAGCCAGGGGCCAGCCTGTCTCCAGACAAAGTGGGCAGCTTCTCACTGAGCTCACACAAACATTTTACTAATATAACATATGTTACACCTGGCTTGTACCCTGCTGAATCCCACGATGCTCATTACTGTGAATCAGGGCCCGGGGTGAGGGACCCATGTTCCTGTCGTATCTCCCTTCCCTGCCACTGTCCCTGTCTAGCCTCAGAGGCTCTATCCACAAGTCTCAGACTTTTAGGGTCCCAATGGAAGGGCCCCAATCCCTGACACTGGGAACTCAAGGTCTCTAGAGCCTGGACTCATTCACTGCTGTCCCCAGGACCCCACTGAACACAGGACAAAGCAGAACCCAGAGCACTGCAGTTACCTCAGCCCCTGTTTTCCAGGTGACATTCTGGAGATGGTGGCTCGAGGCTGGAAATACTTCAGGGGGAGCTTCTATTACTTTTCACGCACCCCGAAGACCTGGTATAGTGCGGAGCAATTCTGTATTTCTAGGAAAGCTCACCTGACCTCAGTGTCCTCAGAATCCGAACACGTGAGTGCAAGTATCTGGCTTTGTGAAGTGATATGTCAGTGAGGCTGGGCAGGAGCTTGCTGCACTAACAAAAATTCCTTAATTATGCATGACCTGATGTGTGTTGTGGGGTGTGTGAATGTGTGTGTGGAGTTTCAGTGCATATGTGGAGGCCACAGGAAGATATCAAATGTCTGTTCTATTCCTCCTGAATTCCCCAAGTACCGACTAATGGGCTAGCAACTCCCAGCGATCTTCTGTATCTGCTGGGATTATATGGTTGCTGGGATTTGAAGTCAGATCCTCACACTGGTGTAGCAAGAACGCGTACCCACTTGGTCATTTTATTATCTCACCACCCACCAACCAAAGTTTATTTCTCATGTATACTATACATCTTGCAAGGGATAGCAGGGGTCTGCTTGATCTGGGTATCAAGGACCTAAGCCAAAGGAGGCTTTATTTCAATACACATCTGAAGTTGCTGAAGCAAGGGGACACAACAAGCTGCATTGAGCTCCTGCCCTCAACTGAGATGTAATTTCTGTTCACATGACCCTAGGGAGAGCTGATCACATACTCTGCTAGCTTCAAAGAGGGCCAGGAGGGGGCGCTCATTCCACATGGCAGAAAATAGAAATCCTTGTGACTAAGATACTCCAGGACATAATAAGCCTCCTTCCTGGTGATGCAGAATGTAGACCAGGCTTATTGATCCAGAAGACACAGGAGTGAAGCAGATGAAGGCCCAGGGCCTGTTCTAGCCAAGTGTCATAGCCTTTCATCAAACTTACCCTGGAACCTTAGAGAAAATTCCCAGGCCTCACTTTAAATGAATTGATGAAATAGTGCCTGCCCGGGGGGATAGTGAAGATCTTCTAGTGTGTGGCACAACTAAGGGCTCATGTAATTTAGATGTTACATTTAGGAAATTCCCTTGATGTCCCTTGTCTGCAGCTCAGCTGAATCTTCTGCCTTTAAAAACAAACAAACAAACAAACAAAACACAGGGTCTCAGTGTATATATAACTCAGGATGGCCTTGAATTTTCGATCCCTTGGCCTCAGATTCCTAAGTGCAGGGATCGCAGGCATCTGATGCTGTGCCTGGCAGGCTGAGTCTCCCATGTCCTCCAGCCCCTCACTAGAAAGTACAAGTTCCAAGTTTGTTAGCTGATAAACTAAGAGCAATCAGGAATTAGCAGTGGGCTCTGGGTCCAGGAAGGGCACTGAGAGAAGATGGTGCACCTGTGAGTCTGCGACTCTCATGGGCCATCATTAGGTTCAGGGCTGCCACTGTGCATAAATGAAGAGTACCAGAGGTAGGGGTGGAGGCTGCGCCTCTGCTCACTTACTCTGTGTCCCCCCCCCCCACAGGAGTTTCTCTACAAGGCAGCAGATGGAATTCCACACTGGATTGGACTTACCAAGGCAGGAAGTGAAGGCGACTGGTACTGGGTGGACCAGATGTCATTCAATAAAGAGCAAAGTAGGAGGTGAGTGAGTCCTCGGTGCCCTCCTTCCCAGCCTGGCTTGCTCCATGGTGAGTTCTCATGAACACTGGGCTCTGCTTCATCTTTATCCTAGCACAGAGGCCCTACCAGAGTGGAGTGGAACTAACTGTTTCTGCTCATTGGGTATTTGGGGCCTGGCGGGGACCTCCATGTCTTATGGGACTTGACAACAAGCCTTTCTGCTTAGCTGGGGTGAGGATCTGACCCAAGTCCAGGCCTATGCAGTATGGACTCATGAGAGCCTTGAGAGATGTGGGCCAGGGCCATAGCAGGGGGCTTAGAGTTGAAAGACTTCTTCAACTCTTAGGTCTTCTTAGGTATGGGAGCAAAACCTTGCAGTGTTGTCACCCAGGATGAAAACTGGGGTTAAAATAACTCATCAAAAACTTTATTTATTTATTTCATTATGTGTGTACATGATAGATGTGTCACATGTGTGTAAAGGTCAGAGGACAGCTTGTCCAGGTCTGTTCTTCTCTACCATGTGGATTCTGGGGATCAAGTTACCAGCTTTGCTTGCAGGTACTCTAACCCACTGAGCCATCTTGTTGGCCTCTAAAATAACTGATTTTAAAGACAGCATCTCATGTATCTCAGGCTGCCTTGGAAAGTTGCTTTGTAGCCTAGGTTGACCTTGAACTTCTGATACTCCTTCCTCTACCTTTTGAGTGCTTGGATAAAGGCATGTGCCATTCCCCAGTCTATGTGGCGCTGTAGATAAGATTCAGGGCTTCCTTCATCCTACACAAGCATTCTTCCAGATGCACAGTGTCTTTCTTTGTTTTCTCACTTGATAGGTTCTGGATTCCAGGTGAACCCAACAACATAGGGAACAATGAGCACTGTGTCAATATCAGGGTGTCTGCCCTGAAGTGCTGGAACGATTCTCCCTGTGACAATACATTTCTTTTCATCTGCAAGAGGCCCTACATCCAAACAATCGCATGACAGGCCTGAACTCGGCATCTGTGGGGCAACAGTGATCCAGCTGAAGATCTCTCTCTCTCTCTCTCTCTCTCTCTCTCTCTCTCTCTCTCTCTCTCTC